CAACATGTGAATGGTGAGTCTCGGAAGGATGTGATGGAAAACTTGTTGGATACCGATTCGGAGTCCGATAGCGACGACAGAGACCTGGCTTGTTCATATAAAAAGAATGTTGGCAGAAGATGTTGCAAGCCAGGGCAGCATGCGAGCTGTAATTCTGGTTTTGGGCGTTGGCATACAAATGCTTTCGGGAGAAGTTGTTGGGTTCGGTGTTGCTTGTGTGTGTATGTACAGAGCGAGAGAGAGAGAGAGAGAGAGAGAGAGAGAGAGAGAGAGAGAGATAGAGTTCTGAGGTGGGTGCACAGGTCACAGGACCGTTGTAGGTTGATGTTTGGCAATGTTGCTGGATCGTGATGCACATGTTGGTTTCGCTCAGCTAAGAGGAAGGATCTCTCGTCGTATACGACCTCCACACTGTGAACCCTCATGTCAGACACAACCCCTGCACCCCAAGCAACCCTAGGGCCCTAGGTGCTGAAGATTCTCGGTCTTTAGGGATGTGCCGCCTTCGCTAACGGTTGTTGCTGGAGTGTGACGTGCTGGCCTTGATGGAGCCGTGCCATCCTCCATGCATGACCGCGAAAGCTTCGAAGTGTTTTTTTTGGTTTTTTGTTTTGCGGATCACGCATGGCCTCGGAAAACAAAGCATCAAACAACAGACCGAGGCCAGCTGGGATCTTGCTACCTATGGAAACGTGGCTGCAAGGCTGCTGTGTGTGGTTGACAGTGGCGCGAGCTTGGTTGTTTGTACAAGCGACTCAAAAGGTAAGAAGGGCTTATGGGTTGAGTATGTTCAGCATGCTTACGGTTGTACATTAACCATCGAAATATACCAGCCTTTGCGCACACCTTAGTTTCAGGGTCTTTGAATCGAGAGTGCCTGTCTATGCCACGAGCATGGGCTGTTGATGATTCACCCGGCATTTCCGGTAATCCGGACATATAGCTTCTGACTGTACTCCGACGAATGGGAGCGATTGGAAAAGGCGAACGGGCTTGCTGCTGTACGCCGCAAATTTAGCAGCTTCACTTCTCCGTCAGCTTCCAACGCAGTGACGATTTGAGCCGCTTAGCCGAAGCAGGCATACGAGTTTTCGATAGAGCCTCTCTCTCCGATTTTGGCTCAGCAGCGCTGGTGGGCGAAGGATCCAGACTTCGCCATGTTTCCAGGAGGACGGAAGTCATCTGCCATCAGTGGGTTGTTGTCGGTCACCAAACAGAGACTCCGTCACTTCGAGCATATATAGAAAGGCAGTGCCAGCAATGCCCTGGAAGTCTTGGGCAAACAGACGGAGTACTGAAACGAAGAGCTTGTGCACAAGGCGTGACTTTACGAAGCCTATCTGGAACCAGATGTGACATTTCCGTTTTGTTGACATACTTAATGACGGATTGCGGGACATCCCAACTCTTTGATTTTGTTGAAGTGATTTTTTGGGGTCCATAAATCAACCGTTTTGGGTTTGCTATCCCACGCCAAAGCCCTGGGGATGCTTGCCAGGAGACCTTTGCATCCAAAACAAAAACAAACTTGGGACTCTTCAATCCTGAAGTTCAAAGCCTTAGTGTCGTGCTTGCCCATAAATGAAGGACTGCCGCAGCGCCCCGGGGGCGCCCCCGGGATGCCAGGCGAGTTTGGGCTTGTGGGTGTTTGGTGTTTAGAAGATTCTGGAGCCCATCCATTTCGGAACTCAATCGCCGGGTTACTGGGAGCTCCTCGATCAGCGGCATCGTGACCAACTCCAGGCTGTTCACCCTGGCTAGGGCTGAGGCCGTAGGGGTTGCTGTGGTGGAGGTCGTTCGGGTAGTTACGGAAGAAGCCCTGGTGCTCTTGGCTGCCCGTGGCGTGCTTCATTTGACTACTTCGGGGAATGATGGTGTATGGCCCTGGGACAGCCTGCATGTAGGGACCTTAATCGAACAGTTTTTTGGAAGCTTGAGGTCGTTAATTCGTATGATCTCAGTTCATGCAGGGCTACTGAATGGCGCAGGGTGCAGGGAGCGTCAGCGCTCGAGTTGTCATCATGGAGCTTTGCCGTATGAGGTATGCCAGCCGGCATGCCGGGGATGATGCCGACCGCCCCGATGATGGGCGGCATGCGTCCGATGATGCCAATGATGCCCGGCATGATGCCCGGTATGATGCCGGGCATGATGCCAATGGGAATGCCGGGCATGATGGGAATGCCGGGCATGATGCCCAATGCAGGGTCCGAGCCTCAGCTCCTTGCAGTCGGCTTGGGCTCGTGTGTACAGCCTGGAGCCCTGAGGGTGACGGCGTCATCCAGGCCTCCGACACCATCAAAGGCTAAAGTCGAAGAGGTGAAGAAGGACAGTTTGCATTGCTGTTCGATGTTGGTTCTCTTTGCAATCTCGACGGTTCGATGTCGGGTCGTGGTACCCGAAACTCTTGGACCGCTCACCGAGCTTGCCTCAGCTCCCAGCCTTGTCAGCGTTACCGATTGAACCCTAATTCAGGCTTGGCTGTCAGAGCGTATGCAGCCGAACTTGGCATGTTCAGGCTCTGAGGAGAGCCCGACACCCCTTAGTACTCGAATGCGATGGACGTGCATGAGGCCTTCGGCGCCTTGCGTGACCTGCTGGAACGATTTGACACGCAGAAGACCAACCTAATCCCCACGTGCCAGCTGCGCCAAGTGTTGTGCCGGGTTTTGCCGAAGCAGGCCGAGGACTGGGAGATTCTCCTGCAAGACTTCGCCGTGGGCTCTTCCACCGACTATCAGGCATTTCTTGCATCCCTTGAATCTGCGGCATCGCAATGCAAGGAGCTTCCCTCCGCCAAGCCCGTCGAGGCGCCAAGCCCCAGCCTGCAGGAGACGCAGGAGCAGCTCGAGGCTCTCCAGCGCGTCCTCCGCCGACAGCCCTTGGAGTTTACGGTGGGCCAGTACAACATCCTGGCCGGCTACATGGGCAGCAACATGGAACCTTGGTTTTTGTACGGCGTAGACATGCCTCCAGAACGAAGGAAAGAGATCCTCAGGTTGCACGGGGAAAGGCTTCCAGATGGAAAGCCGGCCAACCCAGGATGGCCCAACTATGTGAAGGGCGTTCTGACGCCGGAGGAGATTCAAACTGTGGAGGAGACACACCGCCGATGCTTCGCGTGGGAGGTGCGAAAAGACCGACTGCTCGACCAGATCCGTGAGATGGACTGCGATTTGCTGTCTCTGGTGGAGTGCGACCACTACGACGACCACTTCCGGCCAGCGCTGGAGAAGTTAGGCTATGCCTCCACCTGGCGCAAGCGGCCTCGACCGACGAGCGACGATGGTTGTTGCGTGGCTTGGCGGCGCTGCTTGTTTGACCTGGTGCAGGCGACGGCAGTTGAGTTTGTCGACAAGCTCTGCCCAGTGCGGCAAAAGGTCTTCAAGGACCGCATCGCTGTGGTGGCGCTTTTGCAGTCCAAGATCACCGGGCAGAAGGTCATATTGGTTTCCACGCACCTGCAGCGCAACCCCGAAGACCCCAAGCAGGACATGCTGAGGGCCCGGCAGGTTGGTCAGGTGCTACGGGTGCTGGCAGACTTCGTGTACTCCTTCCCAGCTTCCTCGGGGGTGGCAGAGGCACCCGTGATCCTGACCGGGGACCTGAACTGCACCTCCTTTGGCCGGCTGCGTGGAGTTGCCAACACCATCTCCTTGTTAAACAGGGAGGTGAGGCTGCACCCCTTCACCTTCGACTGCTCTGATGCACCCACGGGAGTTACGAGTGTCACCATGGCCCGATGCATGCGGATTGACGCCATCCTCTACCAAGCGCAGTGCTTGGAGCTGGTGGACGTCCACGAGATCCCAGACATCTCGCTGGAGCAGCCGATTCCCAGTGATGAGCAGCCATCCGATCACGTGCCCATAGTGGCGCAGTTCCGGTGCAGGAGCAAGTTGCACACATCGCGGCAGCTGGCACGCGAATGGTTCCGCAATATGGCGGGCAAAGAGTCTCAGGTTCCTTTGAACCAGCGGCAGCTGGACAGTGCCTTCAAGCTTTACGATTACGATGGCACTGGCAGTGTCTCCCTGGCTAACCTTCGGAAGGTCCTTGGACAACTCTTTGACATCCTGCCCGATGCTGCAGAGGAGGTTCTAAAGCGCGTCCCGGAAGAGATGTCGCACAAAGACTTCGTAGCATTGTATTTGGGAGCAGTGAAAGAAGCGGGGTTGCCGGGTCTAGAAGATCTGCGAGAGGCGTTTGCGCTTTTCGACAAGGACAGCAGCGGTGCCTTAGACTTGCAGGAGCTCCTGGCTGCCTTCGAGGAGTGTGCCCCAGCCAGCATACAACCTGAGACGATCACCGCACTTTTCGATGCCATGGACACCAATGGCGATGGCACAGTGGACCTGGAAGAGATGATTGCCTTCTTGGCCAAGACTTGGGCAGATTCTTTCCGCCTCTTATAGGCAGATCAGCCTCCGGCTTTCCCGCGTAGCTCGGGGCCGGCCTGGGCCTCTGCCTTTTTCATTTTCCCTCCCTCTCGCTGACATCTTCGTCTCATCCGCCTAAGGCGGACAGGAATAGACGGTACCAGCCGGAGCCCGAAGACGCCCGAAAGACAAAGAAGCTTTGAGCTCTGCCGTCGCGACTTGCGGATCAGCGACGGGCTCCAAATCCAGACTCTAGACTCAGATATTTCAGGTGGTCGTATGCTTCTGGGCTGCACCTGCACCCATCCAGTGTCCACAGCCGTAGTTATTGCAATAGCGACATGCTCAGAGCTGCAGTGAGGATTTCCTGAACTTGAAGTTCGGCGTGCTTGTCTCAGCTCCGCTTTGTCAGAGCTAGCGTATGCATGCGCCACCTTCAATCCAGCCGCAGCTCGTGCGGCTTCGCCCACAACCGAGAGCCGTCAGATTGCTGTGCTTGCGATTGGCACCCTGAGGACAGAGAGCCGCCCATTGACCCAGACGTGAAGGCGGTCTTCGTGTGCATGTGAGGTCTTCTATCAGCCAGTTGCACATCCCCCCAAACTCTCGGCGAAGGCATTTATGGACAAGCACAAGATCAATGACAAGGCTTTGTTGAAACGTCTCAATGAGGACTGGCATGGAGCTGCTTGCAATCTATGTTTAACTTCAGGCGTTACTCCTGCTTAGGTTTGTCGACAGTACCTGAGGAGATCATGAAGAAGAGGGACACCAAAGAGAGCGTGCTCCTGAAGCTGGACGAGTTGTCACGGTCCCAGCACAGCGGAAAAGGGGATGCAGCAACAGCTCGCTTCCCTGAAAGGTCGGAGTGTCATGATTGTTGAAAAGGTCGACGTTGAACTTACTGTGGAGACACTCTGTTCTCCTAGTCTGCAGAGTTCTCTCATCATTCTCATTTTCGCCGTTGCTTCCGGGAAACTTGTCCGCAGCTCCGTAGCCACACCGAAGGAAGAACGCATTAAGGAGCAATCGTCGACGTGCATCGACAAGGTTTGGTAGAAATATCCGGAGCACTTCCGGTGTAACGCCCTTCTAATCTGACTAGCTTTCCCAAGCATGAGCACGAAGCCCTGAACCCAAAACAACGAGGCTGGAAGACATGGGAGATCCGAAAGGCTACCTCGAGATGAAGTTGGAGGCCGCTGGTTTACGGCCTTGGGGCTGCAAGCGTTTTGGGACTATTGGGATTTGGGTATGAATTGCTGATGCAACAAGACGTATTCTCTTTGTTTGAGCCTGCATACACCCCCATCGTAACCCTTGAAACTGCACTACTTGTAAGACTAAGAACTTCACTCCAAGTCGCCCTCAGATTCCGTTTAGGTTCCTCCAAGCTTGAACCCTGAATCCTGACCGGAATCTCACACCGTCAATCCTACGACAATAACCCCAAGCCCTACGCCGTGAAATGTCCGAAACAAAAGTCCCTGAACCCTCAGCCCAAGTGTTGCGGCACCCTGAGAGCCAAAGAGAGAGACAGGGAGTTTGTGGTCGATGTTTGAAGAAGCCACAGGGTTGGGAAGAATCCAAGCGGTAGATCTCCCCACAGGAGATTGAGAATGGCGAGTTCGTGGGCAAAACATTGGAAGTGCCAGAGGCCGATTCCCCGGCACAAGAGTCGAGAGATGGTCTCGCGCTTCGGACTCCCGCATTTCCGGCAAGCCATCAGCCCGATACAAGGGTGCTTCTGCAGAACATGGGTTTAAGTTTAAGGCTCTCTGTTGACATGCCTTCAGCCCATCCACATGATACAGCCATTCTTGAGCTTCAATTGTTTCTGCCTTGTTGTTGCCGGTGCTTTTTGGCTCTGGTAATGTCCTAAGTATGTCAGTATGTCTATTTCATCTCGCCAGCACCTCGTTTCCAAAGCGTGTTGCCTGGCGGATACAATCAACTGCTAAGTCTGCTAAGTCTAGTGGGTTCAGGTTGGCTTCCAATCGGTAACTGGCTACTCCCAGCCTTGCTACTTCCGACTTTTTAAGGACCGCGCCACTTCCCTTGCGCACTACTGCTTTGCACTTCCATGAATGCCGCCGTTTCTGGCAATGCAGAAGAGTTCGACATAGTTCGACTACCGCGGCCGTGACGACGGCGGCGAAGACGACGAAGAAGCGACTGCCCTCACGACGTGCATCTGCAGTGGTGAGAGGCCATTAGTACAAGTACAACTTGTTTGTGCTACACTTTTGGAGACGAGTGATGACACCGCTGCTGCTGCTGCTGCTGCTGCTGCTCGCCCAACCGCCTCTGCTGCTTGTCGGCCGTCATCGTGCTTTTGGTCGTTTCTGCGACGATAAGGCCGCTGAGATAATTCTGCTGGCAGTTTGAGCGGCAGGATGAGAAGCAAGTGGTAAACCTTGAGCATGAGCATGACGCAAGGTTGGTTATGCCTGTGATTACGAGCATCGCTGTTCGCGATGCTGAGAGCGGGTTCCCGTGAAAATGTGAAGCTGGTAGTGTCAAGATGGCAGTCGTTAATTCGACAGACAGCAACTGGGGACTGATGGCCGTTGTCATCATCGTAGCCGTAACCACCGCCCAACAAAACCATCCAGCCACGCAGCTCCCGATGCTTCAAAGGTCGAAGCGCTTTCCATCGAGTGGAACCTGACACATGCCGGGCCCACGGCAGAGCCAGTACGGCCTGTTGCAATCAGACAGCTAGCAGCTAGCTGACAGTTGGCGAGCCAAAGCGTGTGGCACAGAGATTCAGCTCGGGGGTTTCCGGCATTCGCTAGTTGTTCATCTTTGTGATCTGACTTTCAAGATCTTTCAAGGCTTGTCGCTGAACTCGTTTCCAGAACTGCAGCTTCCCAATGCTTCCCATGAAACTGTGCCGCAATGTCTGAACCTAATGTCTGGACTCCGAACTCCAAACTTGCAGAGCCTCAGTCTATCGGAAGAAACCCTTCTAGCCACCAGCAACCCTCTGAAACGCAGAGGGACAAAGCCCATCGTTCCTGGATCGTATAGGGAGAACCCATTGCTCCATACAGGAGGCAAAGTGCAAGCTGAACGAGGCATGCTGCTGGTTGTCTCTGTCTCCGTGTGTGTGTGTGTGTGTGTGCATGTGTGTCTGAGTTTGTGTGCGTGTTGCTCGAGCGCGCGCAGAGTGGGCTTGATGCTGAATGGCTGAGCTTGCTTTGCGCAGAGGGGCCATACCACGAATAACAGCTTCGGCATCGGTGCCTGCATTCTTGTTGCTGAGCAGGGCAGCCACTCAAACCCTGGACCAGTCCCTGTCACATGTGGCCCCTGCCTGCCAGATGGTGTCAAACAGAGGAACGAAGAAGGGTGCAGACCTTGGAGCTTATTTGTGACTTCGGGCTTAAGCCTGTCGGATCTGCAGTCCGGAACGGTCACCTCCAGCGAGCGAGGTGCTGCAAACAAAATCCTTTTTCCAACACTCCTAGGCTACTGGAGCTAGTTTGCTCCGCAAGCCTGAATTCCTCGGTATTGGCTTGCCTGGCGCGTCCGACAATTTCGTTGAAGCCTGTGGAATCCCCTGAATCAGCTTGCCGTGCGGTGAACTTTCAGTAGTTCCTTCCATACGGACATGTTTCAGAGTTTGCGTTTCGGGCTGTACAAGGCCACAAGGCAGTTCTACTGTTTTGTTGCTGTCTTTTTGGGCGGTTTGGTTTGTTCTGCTAGGATCTCGGGGCGCAACTGAGACATGACAGACTGCTAGCTTCATGGATGTTACGGCTTTTTCTGATCTCTGATGCTGCCGAAGGCCGTCGCCTACACAACTGAGTAGCAGCTGTCTGTCTGCATACTTATCCTCCAGGAAACTTCAACTTTAGAGTAGGTTGTCCCATCTTGAAGCACTGTTGGAATAATTTGCCCTATAGTTTGTTCAGACCCGAGTATTCATGAGCAGCTTGGGTCTTTTGGTCATGCCTGCGATGCACAAAGAAGCAGGGAAACATGTTGCGGAGATGTTGTGGTCAGATACTTTCCGCGCAGAGCCCTCCGGTGACTGGCTAGATTTCTAGAAGGCCCCGGTCTTGAGCGGAAGAGGGTTTATGATTTGCACGGCTTTGGGATTAAGGGTCGGTTCGAGTGGTATCGACTGACCTCTGGATCCCTGCATCCAGGATGTGTCCATGCAAGGGACTCCTCTGAACTTGTTTCTGCTCTTGACTCTGAAACCCTACAGTAGAAGCCGAAACTCCCCAAGCCCTGAGGCCCTACAGGACAAAGAGTGCCAAACCATCAGCACCCAAAACCAGCAACCGTCACACTCCGGCCGAGGACAGGATATCGTTCGATTAGAGAAGATCCTGGAGCACACGCAGAGCAAGTCCGACACGGCACTGCCCTCGGCATAGTTCACGAGTCTATGGGTCTTGTAGGTCTTTTTGTTATGGATTTTTGTTGTTCAGAGTAAGTCCTTACCGCGACAAGGCTTGCAGACACACCGACAGGCTTTCTGACCACAGCGACAAGCTATTTTCTTACACTGAGAAGGGTTTGGGGTCAACCCTGGCAGTGCGTAGTCGTGGAGTCTTGGCTAAAATCCAATTGCCCCCCATCCAGGCCCGCAAGAGGACAGGTCATGCTCATCGTCGAGTGCACCGGAATCGCTGCGCAACGCAGCCGATTCATGAAGACCTGTCAATGAGGCACAGCATAAGATGCCATGCAGGGGCCATGCCGGCTTGCAGCGGTTGGCGAAGTACTTCAATTCAAGACGTCGACCGTGGTGTGGGTACGTGGCATGGCATTTATTAGTAAGGCCTTCCCTGCAATCTGTGTGCATTTCACCCCGCGGCGGACACACCACCTTGCGGGACAGGCGAGCAGCACACAGAATAAATCCCCATCGCCGGCCAACGACACTGTCCCGCACGGGTCAAGGACCCATTGCTCACGTGGTCCGAGCCCGACTGGAGCGGTCTGTAAGACCACTCTGAGCTGGGGCGTGCAGGATGGGTGGGCGAGTCGAATCAACCCAAGCAAGCCGAGCTACCATTTTGGGGTTTTTGGGCTGTGAAAATCGCAAAATGGCGATTCCCGCACGTCCCTGCCCCCCCCGTTCTCCTGCCACACGCGGGGGAGTTACCATTTTGGGGGTTTGGGGCTGTGAAAATCGCAAAATGGAGATTCCCGCGTCCCTGCCCCCCCCCGCCAAACGCGGGGGGAGTTACCATTCTGGTGGTTTTGGGCTGTCGAAATCGCAAAATGGCGACTCCCGCGTATCCCTCTCCCCCTTCTCTCCCGCCATACGCGGGGGAGTTACCATTTTGGGGTTTTGGGCTGTGAAAATCGCAAAATGGTGACTCCCGCGCATCCCTCCCCCCCGTTCTCCCGCCACCAGAGTGGATTCTATTTCCCTGTCATGGCAACAACGTGCTCTCGATCTCCCACCACACGCGCGGGAGCTACCATTTTGGGGTTTTTGGGCTTCGAAAATCGCAAAATGACGATTCTCGCGCGTCCCTGCCCCCCCCGTTCTCCCGCCACACGCGGGGGAGTTACCATTTGGGGGGTTTGGGGCTGTGAAAATCGCAAAATGGAGACTCCCGCGTCCCTGCCACCCTCTCTGTCATCACGAACACTCCTTCTCCTGACCCGGACCCCAGAAATCAACAGCAGCTTTTGGCATGCTGCGAAAAGCAGGTGCCTGTGGATGGGCTTTTGTAGCAGCAGCAGAAGCAGCAGCAGCGGTTGTAGCGGCAGCCCTACCGGTGCTGATGCTGCTGATGTGTCTTGCTGCTGCTGCTGAAACCTTGTCGTGGTGAGGTTTTGATGCCTTGTCGTGGTGAGGTTTGCAATGCGCTAGCGTGGTGAAGTTGTTTTTTGTTGTGGTCTCGATATTTCTTGTTATGGTGTGGATTCTATTTCTCTGTCATGGTAACAACGCGCTCTCTTTTGTTGTTGGTGTTTGGGAGTTTGTTTTTGCTTTGGTATTACTTTGGGAAGCAAGGATGGCGACAAAAGGCACCCAAACTTAAAGCCTTGCGACAAACCAGCGCGTTATAGGGATGACACCTTCAATAGTGTCCGTTCTCTCTTATGTCCTCCTGCTGAAGTTGAGAAAGCAAGGAAGGCCGACATAGTGTCCGCTGGCATGTATTCGGTTGCTGACTTCATGCGGACTGGTTTTCGTAGTGTGTTTAAATAATCGCAACGAGGATGACAACAGTGGGGTCTACAATGTGTATGCATGTATACGCATGCTCAGGTGATGGAAAA